AAGGCAGAATACTAAGAGTATCAACAAGTTAGAAGTCCCACAAACATTTCCATAGTCCACAGAATCAAAAAACTCTAGTAGCACTAAAAAATAATTAAGGCAAAACAGCTACCATCCGTTCCCTGTACCAGCCTGGTATTTCCTCACACACTAAATAGGATGCTGTAAAGCATGTATCTGCCCCCTCACAGATTTCTGTTGTTTCGGCTTTTTGTCAAACTTAAATCTCTCAGACAATCTAATAAATAATGGCAGAAAACAATGACAAGAGTAAGTCAGGCTTGTGGGAACTGTCGACAACTTACTTTCAAATCTAAATCAAATTTAGGGCCAGCTTTAGGAGGTTTTATTTTTGTCAACAAAGAAAAGTCTGAAAAAGGGATCCCCCAAGATTATGGGTGTCAGACTCATTTTCACATTGAGCCACATCAGCATTTTCAAGACTTTAAAAGGGACTGGTTAGACAAGTTTAATATAAACCTTCAATTCCATAATTTCATTCACAAAGAGCACTCTGCTCTGGTATTACAAATTTACCCCTGCTTATTTTACAATTCCAGCCACTTTGTGCAATGCAAAATATCTCTACTTTAGGACCTTTAGGACCTTATGTATTTCATTTTACAGATAAGATTTGGTGACTGACCAACGCAGACAGATACAGCCCTTCAACAATAATTTTTTTAAGAGCGATGTTGTTGTTTATTTTTTTGGACCTAGAGATTAAGACGCGCCCACAACAAAAAAAGCTGTTTTTTAAGGTAGACAAACTCCTTCCAGCTGCCATCATGCAGCAGTGATTTATCTACCTAAAGTTGAGACAGAAGAAAGGAACTGATCTAAAGTAGAGACTAGCCGTTTTTTTTTTTTTCTTTTACTGCCGAACCAGAAGCAGAGTGATAAGGAGTTTTATTTTAAGTGTGTTAACAGGCCGCTCCATCTGATAGAGATTTGATTTTAACACAATAAATACAAAATTTGAAAAAAACATAAAAAACAATAATAATCTCCTCCAGTGAAGCGCCCTTTACATTAAAAAAATAAATAAATAAATAAATCTTCGCCTCAGTTTTCAGTCTGTTCGATTTTGCGCAGTCAGATAAACGAATGAATAACGATCAAAAAACTATAATGTCCCGTATAATATTCAGAACTGGAGAAGAGGAAACAATTCCCACGGGACAAAACTTGTACATTTTTGACAAGAAAACAAGCATGATTACGTTATTGGGTTTTAGCAGTGTGCACAGGTGGTTAACAATATTACCAGTGGTGCAGAAGACGCACTCTGATGGTGTGCTTGTCTTTGCCCACCATCCCCTGCACAAATATATCATCCTTTGCCATTTGTTGGACTGAAGAATATAGCGGTCGGAATATTTTTACATATCGCCCAACCTTAGTGTCAGGCTGGATTTGATGCTTGGGTTTGAAGGGCTGACACAAAAGCCCCAATGAAACCAATAGTTTTCAGATGACACCTAATGGGTGAACTAGAGTCTCCCTGTGTATGAATCTGTCTTGCTGTAAACTCAACCGTTCTGTGGAGAATACAGAGGTTTGTTAGAGAACATTAATGAAACAGGCTCATGATGACAAACAATGCAGACAGGTCGGGTAAAAAGTCGTGCATCGGTTTAAAGTAGAGCTAGGTTACAGAAAAAAATATTGCATGATTTTAACGTTTCATGAAGACCTTTCAGTCAGTCCTCCAATTATAGAAAAAAGATATTGAACCTGCTCACGCACCAACACATCATGAAAGAAGACTTCAGGTGATATCAGTATGATTTAGGAGTCTACGATGCAATTATCGACCATGTGGGTACTACTGGGTAGTAAAATCAAACGGTACCATGTTTAAGTACCTAAGCGCATTACTAGCTGCCTTTCCACTAAAAATCAAATTGCACAAATCTTAATGATGAAAATAAATTTAAAAAAAAACTTTTTTTGGCGCTTCATCAGGGTGGTTTTTTTTAGTCGCAGCGAAATTAGCATATTTTGAAAAAATGGAATGGAATCTACAATGGAAAGATTTTTTTCCGCATCGCACAGTTCATGTGATTTGCAACTGGACCGGAAGTAGTTGGCGCCGTGGCTAAAACATGGCTTTATCTTGTGTGTTAACATCCGCTGCTGACACATTGTTTTCAAGAGTTATTGCAGGATCAAACATTTCCACATGCAATTTTAACTGTATTTCTTATTTCTAATGGAAATAAAGCAATTGTGAAAATAAAGAGAAATGAGTTCAAGTTTAGTTCTTTTCCTTCTCCTTCACATCCAAACTGAATCCATCCATATCTCCCTCTCGATAGCGGACTTATCAAGCGAGATGTTGCTCAGATCTACCTGCAGCTACGGGAAGCGGGTAGGGAGGGCTACTCAGCGGCGAAGCAGTGATAGTGCATTTTATGGGGTAGAAAAATAAAAACAGAACCCTCTTCGGTTTAGCATAACAGTTCAGCAGTTTGGGAATCCATTTAAAACTCCTTACGGCCCCTCCACCTTCATTTTCAGAGGCTGCCCTCTGTCTGCTGGTTGTAGCATATGTGTTCACATGGTTGCCAGTGAGAATGGAGTACATGGGCATGAAACATTTTCATGTTTCGGTATTCATGTTAACATGAACATTATAAAATGAGAAAGTTCAGGTAGAGCGGTTGCATAATGAAGGATCAGATAAAATAAACAAGAATAAAATAATGCCTTTTTTTGTTAGTAATTGTGTTTTATGCAGGAATCCAACAGTTTGGTAATATTTCAGGTTAATCAGAATTTCACTAAATGGCACAAAACCCAGGATTGCTTTATAGCTGCTTTACAAACCTAAATATACACATTTAAGTGTAGCAACTGCTGTATTAATATCTGGAAGTGCTACATGTACAGGGTATGTATGAAGCTGTGAGGTCTTACCTTGATACAAGAAAGAAACAGTAAGTTTGTTTTTTATTTGTTCAGCCAATCCTCATCAGTTTGGATGTCTGCAGACTGGTGCACACACTGGATAGAATATCTGGAGACAAAAAAACAACAACATATAACCAACAAACATAATCATTAAGGGTAAATTAGTTAAACGCAGGTCTGGGTCAATTCATTCCTTTGTAATAAAAACCGCAGTAGATTTTTAAAATGTTCCTTTAAACCGATGTGTCGAACCTCTGTCCTTGGTGACAATCTACTATGTGATTTAGAGCCTCAGCTGGAGCAAAATCTGATTTAAATGTCAGGGTCATCATCAACAGGCTTCTTCAAAACTTGATGACCTGCTGAGGACTAATTTCAATCATTTGAAAATGGATTATGCTCTCCAATTTCAGATACTTAGCATTTGGATAAATGCCATTTGATTAAGCCTTAGAGTAAAAAACACTTTGCACAATTTCTTACAGAAAACCAAAAAACTCAACTTAAGAGGGATATTAGCAGCTATGACTAAAACTTGCAGATTGTGAAAACATTTCTCATTTTTACTCGTCATTAAGCATTTTATGTAATGTTGAATTCTTTTTTCCGATTCTAGTTCCAATCCTACTACTTCTATTACTAAAATAGATCAAGATTTAAGATATTATTAAAATAAAACAAAGGTATTGTTCTTGTATGGCCTCTTAAAACTGACCACTGCTTATGCCGCCATTGGAATATGGAACTGCTATGCCGTGTTTACAAGAAGAGGAAACTGGTGTTTAACATTATTGTGAAAGAGTTTGGTCTATCTTCTCTGCAGAAGAATTGTACTTTTTCCACAATATAAAGCTTTTGAACACAAATGGAATGTTTAAGGTCATGCTGCGGCATCTCACTTGACAAGATGCTAACTGTAAGATGAAAGCCACTGTAGACAAAGCTCCAACAAACGTGAGATACTTTTACCAGCATCTTTGAAAAGCGCAACTTTACGTGAAGCATTATTGCTGATCGGCAAACCTTAAGGCAAAGAGGATCAAGCCATTGAATTGGTTAAAAGTGTTATTCAAACCCAGACTAGATTCAGACTAAGTCAAAAAAGATAAAACAAAATGAGGGACTGGACGAGTCATACATATATACGCAAAAAAAGCTAAACCTTTCAGCGGACAAGTCAATGACTAATAGGCAGTTGACTGATTGGAACATTTCCATCAATGATGGAGAATAAAGGGGAGAAGTGAACAAAGTGTGTTTTAATTACAGCCATCATATTTGCAATATTCAGCACCATGCAACCATTGTCTGTTTTCCAAACACTGTGCTTAGGAATGTCTCAATCTGAAATTATTTCAATATCGGAAATCTGGGTGTGCAAGTGGCGCAGTGGTTAGTGCTCATGACCCATGTATGGAGGCCTTAAGGGCAGATTAGACCTCTGCAACCGCACACATCTAATGTCGCTTGGGTCCGGTCGCGAACCAGTTTTGCTTGGATGCTTCTGCACCTTCGGTCTGGAATTTCTAGGGATGCACAGCAGTTTCCCACCAAAGTGCTAGGGGGAGCCAATTTGAGAACTCCCGAGAACATCGGCGGCGCCAGCAGGAGTGTTTATCTTCCAAAACAACAATGGCGCATCTGAAAGATATCACGTTGATAGAGATAGATCTAGAGTTGCTAAACATCGAAGAGGAACTGTTAATGGAGTTCCTCAGTTTTTAAAAATGACGCGCCCCGGCACCGAATCGAGAAGAACCACCACACACATCGCCAGAAGGTCATACCAAGGACCGATCACAGCTGCTTTTTGGCTGCACACTTCCACTTAGGGTCTGCGCGGGTTTGTGGCCGTCTGACATGTAGTCAGGATTTTTTTGAGGTGCGCGACGACAGTTGCAGAACCTCCGCGCGGGGGAGCGTGGTCGCACACAGAAACAGATTTGACGGTTGCAGAGGCTATGCGTCAGAATTATAAATTGGCATTTAAAGGGCCGGTTATATTCCCTGCAGCAGTGTGTCGCAGTGAGCTTGACGCAGACATTTTTGATTTATGCTCAATTTTGAGAAGTGGTCTGCACTATCCGCTGTGGGACTAGATACGGCTGAGGCGGTGAGGAAATGGGGGCGAGTTTGTCAAACAACGGAGGGACATGACGGAAAAAAAAAAACGGGGATCCAGGTGGAAAAAGGGTCCCAGCGTTCTTGCACACCTTGCTGTTCTAACTGGTCCAACTTCCTAAGTTGTTTTCCGCAACTGCAGTCATAAAAACAAAACAAGCCAGCGTTCTGTCTGCGGTCAACTACAATTTGGGAGAGGTGCAGCAGAGTGTCTGCGGAGGGGGTGGGGACGTCTTTTTGTTCACTGCGACACCTACGCAGATGACCTGGTTTCGAAATATAAATCAGCCTTCAGTCCTCGACGTGGCCAACCTGGGTTGGAATCCGACCTGTGGTCCTTTGCCGCATGTCTCTGCCCCTCTCTCATACCCCCTTTTCTGTCAGCCTACTGTCAGAAAAACGAGCCACTAGTAAAAACTCAAAAAACAAACAAACAAACAAATCGGAAATCTGACACATATCAGCCAAAAATCAAATATTAGAATATATATCGCCTTGCATCTAAAACCTCCATTATAAAAAGCTGATCAAAATGCAACACTTCTATCCACTTTTGTTTAAAGTCTATGCAACCTATTAGTCAATAATACATGGGTCAGTTATTATTATACCTGCATTTGTTTACTACTGTTCTCTGACTGAGTAATAACACTTAATCGCACCTTTTCTAACATCTCACAAAGCAAACTAAGTAGTCAAAGTATGTGTGATTGATGTGGATAATAGTATCAGTAAATACTCAAAGCTGCAATATTGGTATTATATCAGAATCATAAAAAGTTGTACCGGGACGCCCCTAAATCTAATCCCTATTAAGTACATATAATTTCAGTAGAAATATTCAATACTGCTAAGTACTACTACTAATACTATTAAGCAATAGCTAAATAAATAGGCAAATAAAACAGCCATTGTTTTAAAGGCTGCTGTATTGAAGGATGCAGTTATTAGCTTAGAATCAGCGTGTTGTCTGATGTGTTTGATTAGATTATTTAAGTATTTTGAAAAAAACTTTTTCCTATAAAAATAAAGAGGTTGTTATAGTTTGTTCAAATTTGTTTCATTGTTAATTAGATAAAACCTGTATCCACCTTCAGGTAGTGTATAAACCAGTAAGCATCTTAATTTCCAACATTAAATTCCTTCTTGCCTTGAAATTAAATAAGTATTTTAATTATTTTAATTCTATTTAGGGCGTTTACAGCATAAACTGCATGTCATGTCATACAGTTAAATTGAGAAATGCCTTAATGGGCATAAATCAGGTGTGCTGGAATAGCTAAGGGACAGCAACCAAAACAACTGCCAGCATTTTAAGCTAATGTTGCACCTGTACTTTTACTACATAGAGCACAAAGTAAACTCTACATGTATATTCGTTTTTAAAGTCGATTATATCATAAACCAATATGAATGTTTTATTTTATTTGGTAAAACATTTTCAAGTTCAGGCATTTTTGGCGTAAAGTTAGCTCCATTTAGAGTGAGACTAGGGCTGGTAGTTCACAGCAGCGGTGGCTAAGTTAGCCTGGAGCCAGCCTGGCCAGCGTTAGCCACGAAGCTGCCAGAGGGCTGACAGGACAACGGCGGTCTAAGAGCGACAATCGCCGGGAACTTACCGAGGCCCTGGGTAGAGGAGCTCGAAATGTGCCCCCAGACCGATGAACAGCAACTGGATGCACGGAGCGAGCGACAAACAGGACGGTGGGAGAGAAATGAGAGCCGTGTTCAGCTTGTAAGGAGGTCTTCACCTGGTGCTTCCATTTCTGTTTACCAGATTGCATTCTGGGACACCGACGTCATTAGCGATGTGTCGATCGAGACCGAGTCAACGCTCTGTGCCGATTCTTTTCCTCCATCGTTCAGTCTAAAGGCCCTTTTTTCTTCTTCTTTTTCTTCTTGTGAGGTTTTATGGCAAACTAGTTTAAGTGCATTACTGACACTAACTGTTAAGAAGTTAAGAAAGGAAACAGGACCTAGTAATAATAATATAATAATAATAATAATAATAATAATAATAATAATAATAATAATAATAATAATAATAACAATAATAATAATCCGAACTATTTAACTATCCAACACAATAAATACTTAATCAGATTTCTATTTTATCTTAAAGTCATCATCACTCTGCCAGTTTCTGATGGTCCTATTGTTTTTTCCATCATGCTTTCCACCATTTCCCAGTTTAAATCTCTAACTCAAGATACTTTTCTGCAGCTTTCATTATTATTTTGTTTGATTGATTTATTTTTTTTTCTTCTTCTTCTTCTTCTTCT